TCTCGGATCGGCTTGCGGAAACGAGGTCACTCGTTTGTTTTCGTGACTTTCGCTATGTTTCGCTGAGTCGAAGACATGGCCAGGGCTATCAATTTGTTACACTTATTCGGATTTTTTATTCCCAGAAATACAAACTCATTTTGAAAATTTTGAGCACCTTCGTGCCATGTTTTATAACTCCTTGTGAAGCAAACATCTTGCCGGTTGGTGGCTCCCTCATCTTTTTTTTTGAGCTCTCCGAAAACAGTCAAAGATTCGGAAAAAAAAAAAAAAAAATCGGAATGAATGTGCGGTTTATGTATGGGGCCGAAAGACCCGTGACGGAGTCCTAGGGGAGAAAAGGAGTACAGTGACACCAAAATGAAAACACGCGGCCAATTTCCGCTCGATACGTAAGGTGCTTAAAAAAGAGGCGCCTTCGTTGAGAACTAGAGAAGAGTAAACGGAAAACCCGGAAAAGAAAACGAAAGAAGAGCACCGTACCCAACCCTCGCCCAATCGGCAGAATGAATAGGCAGGTGATTTGCGCTTATGAAAGGCGCTTAGAAAAGAGGTGAAAAAACAAAAGGGAAAGGAAAAGGAAACGAACGAACAGCACTGTACCCTATCCTACCCTTGCCCATTCAGCGGAATGAATGGCCAGGGGATTTATGCTTATGAAAGGCGGTTAAAAAAGAGGTGACTTAGTCTAGAACTAGAAAAAAACAAGAGGGAAAGGAAAAGGAAAAGGAAATGAAAGGACAACACCGTACCCTACCCTACCCTCGCTTAATCGACGGAGTGAACGGAGTGAATAGTGGGGTAAACAGTAATGTGGGGGCGAAAGCACTTGCTGTATGAATGGGGGCGAAAGCACTCGCTGTATGAATGGGGGCAAAAGCACTCGCTGTATGCAGTTGGAGAGAGGAATTGCATTGTGTGACAGTGTGAGGTCTTTTTGCTGTTTGTGCATTTTCTGACAAGATGGATTGAAAAGCAACTGAGAGTTGGAGTGAAGAGGTTATGGGTGGGCTGTGACCTGCAGGTAGTGCCGTCGGCTCCGCCGGGCTCGGTTGCGATGCATGCGGATAGTCTACAAAACGCGACTCAGATACTGCCGAAGCCAGAGCATGCGGTGGTAATGGCGAACGGAGGAGGGCTGTCATCGATGAACGCTGCTGGTTGACTGGCCGCTTGATCGTAGACGATGGAGGTCTTCTTCTACTGTTGCATTCTTTTCATTCTGAATTCCTTGAAGCGCGGGACCTCACTCGCCCTTTTTTTTTTCTTCGGTATATTCCCCCTGTCATCGTCAATCGCCAGGTGAAGTTTTTGATGCGATGAAGTGGTTCGAGAGGATTACCCGGTCACTCAATTCTTTTCGATACATTTCCCCCGTCACTCGTCCATCCATCCATCGCTCGTTCGTTTTTCATCCCTTTTTCTTTTCTTCCTGGCTCCCCTCCCCCATTGTTGCAATCCTATCATTTTTAGTTTTAGGTTAGTAGAAAGGTTGTAATTGGGAGTTCGTGTATGTTGACGGCAGTTTTATGGGGGTGTTGGGATGATTTTGGGGCGGAGGGGGCCGCACTTGGGGAGTTCTGTATTGCACAGAGGGCTTTTCACAGTTTGGCAATCAATACCATAAGGAGGTTGTAGGAGGTGCTCTGCAAAAACCAGGCCTTGATGCAAGTTGGTGGTTTTTTGTTGGATACCTTGGTTGCTCGTTCAATTTTCCGACCTTTTTCTCGGTTTCGGAAAGCGAGTGCCAGACGGGCCCTCGGCAA